TTGAATAATTTGATGAAGTAAGTTTGATCATACCTCCAAACGATGTCTCATCCATTAGAAACACGTGCAACGAACCTGGCGCTCTGATACCACTTTGTTGTGCCGAGACACCGATATGTTAAGATCTTCAAACAAAAGGAACGATGCAAGGAAGAAGAAATGTATACGACACGAGAATTTAACGTGAAAAACCCTCAAAATCTGAGGGAAAAACCACGGAGCAACCACCGAACAATAACTCCACTATATGAATAATGGGATTACAACATGAATCTCTTCTCTAGTCGCAACTAGAGGATTACACTACAATTTCTTCACACTGTGGCTCTCTCTCTCTCTCTCTCTCTCTGTCTCACACGATCTCTTTTCCTTGACCCCCTTTTTTTGTGTGTGATCATCATCCCTCAAATGCCAAGCCCCCCCTTTTTTTAAGGGTTGACGGGAAGGTTCGAGAATTGAAAATATTCTTGAACTATTCCAATAATTCTTCTTCTGAAACATTCTCCGAGAGCTTCTCCAGATTTTTCTCCAAGAGAATATTTAAGAAGATTCTCTCCAGATTTTCTTCTTAGTTTTGAGCCACCCACATAGGGAGGCAATTCCCAACATTATTGTGCTATGATGTTTCTATTAATAATTAAATAACAATTGTGAAAATTGTGTACGGTAATATTCACTTCTTTTTTCAAGTTATGAATTTACCTGTAAATTAAACTATGCACATCTGTAATCTACAATCTGTAATATATAAAGCTCATACTATAAATTGAATTTTGTAGTTAAGATAGGTGATTATTATAGGTGGTCAAAAGGTGATTAATGTAAAGACATTTGGAAAGTAGTGTCTTAGCCAAAATGGAATGGAAATAGCCTCACCCTTCAAATAATTTACCAAAACATATTTGTGCAGCTTACCAACTTATAAAGCTATTGACTCTCATATGAAATTACCAACTTTTATTGGGCTCTACTTACCAACATTTGCTTCATTATTTCATACTGTCCTGATAACTTACGAACATTTATTTGGGAGCTTGCCAGTTGATTGAATTTGCCTAAAGAAGTTATAAACTCTTTTCAAAATTACCAACTATTCTCATAATTACCATCATTTATCAGTGGAACTTAAACTCACAAACTTTTCTATTTGAAATTATTAACATTATTTAAACTCAGTTACCAACCTTTATTTGATTAGCTAGTAATCACCAACTGTTTCGATAATCTACTAACCTACAAGCTACTAAACTCTTATACAAAATCATAAACTCTTGTACGGTAAGTTTATCATGTCGGTATTTGATTTAATTAAACTTCGTATAAACTATTGAAATGATTGGTAAATTGGAAAAATAAAATAAATGTTGTTAAGCAACTCAAATTAGGGTTGGTACGTAGTTTCCTATGAAAATTAGTAACTTTAACACGCTCATGACTTAAGAAAATAAATGTTGCTGAATTTTAGATAATTGATGACTTCAAGAATCAAATAATGCTAGTACTTTTCTAAAAGTCGTTGAACGTTACCCTAACGTTTAACAGACCAAGCAAGTCACCAGTCAATTTTTGCTACCTATAGGGTTTTGCAATTGCCGACTCTTTCAAAAATTCAACAGTGTATCGTGTTTCACGGACCAAAATTGTCCAAAACTTGATCCTCTTTGTAGCCCACAATATATGAAAGAGGAGAAAATTGCTAAGTAGCTATCACAAACAATGCTTTGTACAGTAGGATAGAAGGAAAATGCCATCGAAACTCCGTACTCTTTTTTCGTTTCTTGTCATGATGAGTCGCCTAAGAATCACATGGAAGTGTCTAACATTCCGTTTGGCCATACATAATAGTTTCCGTTCAATAGTAAATTTGTAACACTATTTATAAATTTTAAATAACGGCGGTAAAATCGTCCGACTTGCTACCTATTGATTAAGTAAATTGACTTGATTGTGGAACAATGTTAGCGACTTATCATTATCAATATTCTAATAACTTACCACTTATGTTACATATTTACTATTGAGCTTGTGGATGGTAAAATTGTTATTTTATTGATAACTTACAAACAGTCATGTGCCTTCTTGTAAAAATGTAAAAACAAATGCTAATTTACCGTTAGATTTATGGATGATGAAATTGTTATTTCATTGGTAACATATAAACGGTTACTTACGCGTCTACTAGTAAAACCTAAAAACTAGCAGTAATCTACAATTGAGTTTGTAGATGATAAAATTATTATTTCGTTGATAACTTACAAACAATTACGCGCTCACTTGTAAAATCTAAAAACAAGTAGTAATCTATTATTGAGTTTCTCGATGTTATAGTAAGATTTTCATCTCATTGGTAACTTACAAACAGTTATATGCCAACTCGTAAAATCTAAAATAAGTGGTAATTGCTATTGTGTTTTGTGGATGGTAGAAATGTTATTTCACTGGCAAAAAGTCATGTGCCTACTTGAAAAAATTAAAATAAGCAGCAATTTACTACTGAATTCGTGAATGATAAAACTTTTATTTCACTAGTAAATTACAAATATTTACGCACTCACTTATAAAATAAAAAAATGATAATTTATTATTGGGTACGTTATCATCACATTCCAAATTTAATACCGTTGTTACCTTTTTACCATCCATAGATGAAATTGCGTTTTATCCGGAAACGAAATTTTCGAAATCCACGACGGGCGGAAGCACCACCGAAACGACAATTTTGCATTCTCTAGTCAAGTCAACTGAAAGCTATTGCGTGTCTATTGGTCGCCATGCTTTATTGGAGTAAAGTTCAATTGTCTTTCCTTTCCATAATTGTCTATTGTCGGAAAGTCCTTCAATCCCATTCTTCACACGTGTACCCCACCAAGCTAGACCAAAGGCGCAATCTTCGCAGCTCTAAGTTGGTGCATGGAAATTTCGGGTTCAAATTCCAGCTCAGTTGATGTGCTTGGTTGACCAAATATAGTCAACTATCATGTTGTGTATCAAATATAGTCTGCTAATTTTCGATTGGCTACATTAACATTTAGTAAGTTATCTGGAAATGTCGAAATCCTAACGTTAATATGATTCTCAAGTTTATATTTGTTTGCTCTTTTTATAGTCTTAGAAAGTTTTTACAATTAATTCCAAATATAATCAAATCATTTTATTTCTCTTATTGAATCTACTTATTTGATTAAATAATCGGATATAATATCTATGGCGTTTGCTTTTAGCCAATCTCTGCAGGGTCAATGTTGGTGTACAAAGACAACATTGATCACATAATGTCATTGGTTTTATGATCTTAAAATAAAATGAGCCAAAGCATTTTCAAGGGATGTCAAGTTCTGATCTCAACACCATAGGCAGATTTCTTTTATTTTTCCTTTTTTCCTAGAAAACATAAATATAGTCTTTAGTTTTGATTGAAAAATTATGATAGAAAAAGAATGTCATTTTGTTGCGCAATGTTGCCAAATTTTGCTAGGATTTTTGAAAGTGTTATAAGTCAAATTTGGGGACTAATGACATCCGGAAAATTGACACAAGATTGCCCCTACGTTGGACAACGACTCCTCCACTCTCTAGTGTCGACTTGGTTTCGATTGACTCCCTCTTCCTGCGCACTTCTTCAACCTTTTCTGATGAACGGCTCGTTCGTCTCATGGCTTCTTCTTGTTATGTCCACGATCGTCAAGGTGAACAAAGGCGTTAACGATGGTAAAGACAGAGACAGTGAAAGCAGCAGTTGCCATAATGAAGGACCAAGGGCTGCCAAAGTCCTCGCACTTGATACTTGTCCATCTCATGCGCCATTTATTCCGGTGATATTAGGCTACTCACTCGACTTACTTGGTCAAGTAACTCAAGCCAATATTGAACATGACATCTTTATGAGATCATTCAAGAATTTGCATCCACAGTAAAAAACCACCGAAACCCACCACTGGCTCAATAAGTGATTTGATGAATTTGCATTCACAAGCCAAGTCAACTTAACATAGTTGCGCATAGGGACCAAAAAATTTATGATCCAATTATTGGGATGTGGTTCATACTCCCCAGTTACAGAAAGGCACGGGGATATGCTCTAGTTTAAGGATAGGGGTCCTCAGCTTGGGCCCATAGAAAGCTACTGAGTATATATATTCTCTTTCCCTTATAATTGAGAGATGAAACAGAAAGGTGCGATCTGCTAATTATAGTGAAATTCCTTACTGAACGTAACCCTTATTTAAAGGCGAATCAGGATAAAACCTTGTGTCTCGATTTCTTTTTCTCGCTTTTTATTCTCCGTTTCTTTGTGATTGTGCGACGAATCCTAATATCGATATGATATGAATGAGCCCAAACACGATCCCGTTGAAATCCCATCCAAAGAAGCTCATGTTCATCTGCCTTCCAATAAGAACACAACTCCTCCTCCTATGTGTTCATTCACAAACTCTATAATGAAGTTGCATTCAAATGTTAATAAATTATTTTATTTCTTTTTTTGAATCTACTTATTTAATGAAAAAAAAAGGATATGATAGATACATTTTGATGTTACTGTGAAAAGCTAGGTATCTATTTACGTTTAACAAATTTCTACATCGTTAATGTTTGCGCAAAAAAAAAATATTGATTCGTAATATATCATTTGTTTTATGATGTAAAATAAGATGAGCGAAAAGCATTTTCAAGAGAGATGTCAAGTTCTAATTTCCACATTTTAGGCGGACTTGTTTATTTTTCCGTTTTTCTTAGAAAATAATGATATGTTTTTTTTTGTTTCGATCGAAAAATTATATTAAATAAAGGATGTAATTTTTTTGGAAAGGTTTGCGGGATTTTGCTAGTAATTTCGAAAGTGAAATGAGTCCAGATTTAGTGACTAATCACATCCCGAAAATCGACACCTGCTGGCACCGACTTCGGACGACGACGACTCCATAATAAGTGTCGACTCTGTTTCGTTCCACTCCATCTTCCCCGTGCCCTCTTCCAGCGCTCTTCTTCAACCTCTTCCGATGAACACTTCCATCGTCTCATGGCTTGTTCTTGCGATATCCACCATCTCCATCTTCTCCGACGTTGCTGGGGCTTCAGCTCCAGCCCGGTGCCCCAGAGTCGACCCGAGATCGCTCTTGCTCGAGCTGAGAAACAGCCTTGTCTTCGACGCCTCCGAGTCTTCCAAGCTAGTACAGTGGAACCGAAGCGCCGATTCATGGAGCGGCGTGACGTGTGAGGACGAGCTCATCGTCGGTCTCGATTTGAGCAACGAGTCGATCTCTGGCGGAATCGACGGTTCGTCGAGCCTCTTCAAGCTCGAGTTCCTTCGGAGCTTGAATTTGGCATTCAACGACTTGTACTCCTCGGCAATTCCTTCGGGCCTCACGAATTTCAGCCACTTGACACATCTCAACTTGTCCAATGCCGAATTCGACGGGCAGAGTCCGGCGGAGCTATCGCACCTGACGAAGCTACGCACTCTTGATCTCACTCATAGTAGGGGCAATTATCCGGCTTTGCTATTCCCTGAGGAGCCCTTTTTGAGGTCGCTGATTGGGGATTTGGGGGAGTTGAGAGAGCTGTACCTTGATGGGATCGATGTGTCTACTGAGGGAAGTGAGTGGTGTGACGCGTTGTCTTCTTCAATGCCGAAACTTGAGGTGTTGAGCATGTCTGGCTGTTCTCTGTCTGGCCCTATCGGCGCTTCTCTCATGAGTCTGGCTAATCTGTCGGTCATCCAACTCGATCACAACGTCTTGTCCACCACAGTTCCTCGTTTCTTAGCGAATTTTTCCAGCTTGAAGACACTGAGCCTAAGTGATTGTGGCCTGCAAGGAGAATTTCCTCAAGAAGTCTTCCAGGTAAAAACACTTCAGACCCTTGACCTATCATCTAGCCGACTTCTTCAAGGTTCTTTGCCAATATTTCCGGAGAATAGTTCTCTTCAGACACTGGTTCTGAGTGGCTCGAATATTTCCGAGAGCCTCCCAGATTCAATTGGTAATCTCAGGAATCTGTCCAGAATAGAATTGGCGGATTGTAGCTTTTATGGAAATATCCCAAGCTCTCTCACCAATCTCTCGAGACTGTCTTATTTGGACTTGTCATTCAACAATTTTACTGGTTCTATTCCATCACTCAGCAAATCCAAGAATCTGACACATATCATTTTGTACTACAATAATCTAACTGGTCCGATTGATTCAACAGCATGGGAATCCCTCTTGAGTCTTCTTATTCTCCACCTGGGATTCAATTTACTTGAAGGAAATATTCCTTCATCTCTGTTTACACATCCATCGATTCAGGAGCTTCAACTTTCCGACAACCGATTTTCTGGTCAATTGAAGGGATTTTTTAATGCTCCATCGCAAATGCTGAATACACTTGATTTGAGCAACAACAATATAGGAGGTGAACTACCGACGTCTATATGGGAACTCCGAGGGCTCAATGTCCTCTCACTTTCTTCCAATAATTTTAGTGGCTCATTTCATATTAATTTGGTTCAGCAGCTGAGAAATCTTGGGGATTTGGATCTTTCCTACAATCATTTTTCCATTGATGCCACAAATACGGCTTCCCAGGCCACTTCATTTCCTGACCTTCAATACTTAAATTTGGCTTCCTGCTAGTTGACGACATTGCCTCGGTTTTTGGCTAACCAGTCCACATTGTTCTTCCTCGACCTCTCCCACAATTATATAAAAGGGGATATACCGAGATGGATCTGGACACTAGAAAATCTTGAGCATCTCAATGTTTCCTCTAATTTCTTTGAAGATTTGGAAACACCTCTGGGCAATCTTACCTTTCCTTTGGATTTCATCGACCTCCATTCAAACATGCTCCGAGGGAATATGCCACCCTTGTCGTCATATGCTTCCTACTTGGATTTCTCAAGTAACAAAATAAATGCTATTATTCCGGATGACATCAACATACTAAACTCGATGTTCTTCTCCCTTTCGAAGAATAATTTCCATGGGTCCATCCCGAAGTCAATTTGCAAAGCTGGTTATCTTCATGTGCTTGACTTATCACATAACCATCTGAACGAAACTATTCCTGATTGTTTAACGATGGCATCCCCAAAGGTATTGAATTTGCGAAATAACCAGTTGAGTGGCTATATTCCGCAAAACATCCCGGCAACATGTGGTTTGAAGATATTGGATATTAGTGAGAATTTCTTGCAAGGCCAGATTCCGTTGTCATTGGCAAATTGCATGACATTGGAGATTGTGAACCTCGGCAACAATCAAATAGACGGGGCATTTCCATGCCATTTCCAGGCAATATCGAGTCTTCGTGTCCTTGTTTTACGATCCAACAAATTGCACGGGGAAATTAGATGTCCGCATAGTCCCAGCACCTGGCAAATGCTTCAAATCATTGACCTATCTTCCAACAATTTCAGCAACACATTGCCTATGAGTCTCCTCGCATCTTTGGAGGCTATGAAGGCCAACGTAGACTTCAATCATTTTCTGTATGAGTTATTCCAATTAATGGATATCTATTATCAAGATACAGTGAGTGTAACCTTCAAAGGTCTGAAGCTAGAACTCGTCAAGATTCTGACTATTTTCACGTTGATCGACTTCTCGGGCAATAGATTGGAGGGTCCAATACCAGACACACTTGGAGATCTCAAAGCACTTTATTTCCTCAACCTATCGCATAATGTCATCTCAGGTTCAATTCCTCCTGTTTTAGGGAATCTAGATAAGCTGGAGTCGTTGGACCTATCATGGAACTACCTCAATGGAACCATACCGGGTCAACTTGCGAATCTTAATTTCCTTTCGTTCCTGAACCTCTCAAACAATCAACTTGTGGGAAGCATCCCGATAAGGGGACAATTTCTCACGTTTTCCAAAAGTTCCTTCGAAGGAAACCTTGGATTGTGCGGGCTTCAGCTCAACAAAAGTTGCTCAACTACAATGAATGGGACAGAAGAAGTGGGTAGTGTTTCAACTCAAAGCAACACAGATGATGATGTCGACAATGATGATATCAAGAAGAAGTGGTTTTACATGGGCATACCATTTGGATTCGTGGTTGGCTTCTGGGTATTTTGTGGTCCCATAGTGTTTATAAGATCATGGAGGTTTGCTTATTATCGATTATGGGATAAAGTGCTGTTTAGACACTCACGTCCATGAAGATTTCCAATGAGGTTCAGTTACTAAATTTGAAAAAGAGTATTTTCGTTCTTTCTTCCCTTCATAATTCTTCATCACCATTTAAAAGACGGATCTATTTACTGATCAATAGAACTCTTACTTACCCATTGGAAAAAATGTAGGTCCGTGTTTCGCGTAGAACTAACCATTCATAAGTAGGTACGCGGCCTGGACCTTCAATTGGATCCTTCAAATTTGCTTGTGCAGAATTGGATCCTTCATTTTATTTTATTTTTGAATCAATTCCTGTAACTCTACCCTATTCTCAATCAAGTCCTTAAATAACTCTTAGTATGTTAGACGTGGTAAGCTAAGTTCATAATTTCTTTATTATCAAAAAAGGTTAAAGTCAATAATGTTAAAATCAAAAGAAACTGATTTTATTCTATAGAAAAAAGAAAGTAAAATGTAGAACACAAGGGAGGGGGAGCGAGAGAGACGCGAGGAGGGGTGAAGGACTTGGAGGCAGCAACAACCACCATTGACGATTGGTGATAGTTGAAAAATGTGAAGAACTTATGTTGATTGAGCTACCAATTCTTATAGTAGTCTACTTACTAACATTTTTTTTATTACTTCACAAGGATTTGAAAGCTTATGAATACTTATTTCTCCCCAGTGGGTTAAATTTACCAATTTTTAATATGAACTTATCAATTCTTTTTAAAATTACCAATTCCAACAATTACCATCATTTAGTGAAGGAACTTAAGTGACAAACTTTCATATGTAATGTCACAACCCTCCCAAGGTTGAGATATTTGAGGGATGTTGACATGTTGCTAAGCAAGCACTAACGGTTCCTCTTCCGTGGTAGCGCCTACGCCTAACACGAACACTCCCAAGCCCTACCAGTTGCAACTTGATTTTCCAGTTCAATCACTCAATTTAATTTGCTTTGGAGCTTCCACTGATCAATTTTGGGCTGGTTAGGAGCCCGAGTACAATGCAGGTGCTCGCCTTACTCTTGTGAACCGGAGATATGTGAATCCAAGAATTTGGTTATACTAGATAAATCTAACATCCATCGCCAGTACCTTTTCTCCTTTATGAAATTTTTTTGCAAGCAATCTTCTCAATTTTGTTTTCCCTATATCCTTTAATTATGTCAAAAAAAGGTGATCATGAAAAGGCGTTCGAGCAATATATATTAAATCAAGTGATAATAAAGATGAAGCAAATAAATTACTAGGAAAATAAAGAACCAAATAGCATTGGGCAAAATTAACAAAGCCTTGTTATTAAGTCTCGGGATAGGACCTTCGTGAGCTATAAACCAAAAGTAAACATGCATTGTATTAAAATAAACACGAGATGCCTAGTCTAAGTGCCGAACTTGCCTAAGCCATCATGAATCAAATATCGGGAACTATCTAACACTATGATGCATAACTCGCCTAAATGTGATTAAGATGCAATTCTAAATTTTTTTGTCTTTTCTTTTGTCTAATTTTTATAAACACCAGTTAAAACCCTAAAATTACCCTACATGTCGAGAATACCCCTTCATGGCCGAAATTACCCTATTAATTTAGATCAACATGAATTAATCAAAACTTGTATAATTTAAGATGCAAAGTCACCTAACATGCTTCTAATTTTTTTTTATATCTTTCCTTTTTATTATTGATATGCAACTACCTAGGTGATCATGAATATCCTATATGCCACATGACAATAAAAGATGCAAGTTTTATGATTTTTCTCACTAATTTACATGAACTAGCAAACTGTATCCTATATGCATGAATAAAAAGTAGTAAAGGTTTGATCTTTCCTTGAAAGATTTGATCTTTTTGACATGAGCGAAGTCACCGATAAAGGTCGAAGCTTTAGCCTATTTTCCATGAATCACTGCAAAACAGAAGATCAAAATTCTTCCATGCAAGACAAACAAAGGAGGGGCCGTGACCAAGAGCGCTAAGGGGACCGGCCATGAACAACATGCAGAGGAATCATCAATCCAATCTGATTCAATGTTCACATGCAAAAAGACATCCATATAATTCCACCAAGGGCAAGTCCACGCAGAAAAGAGATTAATCTAAGTAACAAAGATGCGACCTCTCTCTGATTAAGTTCATGCAAAGGGGAATCAAAACATGGCAATCTATCAATCCTATGAACATGAGGAATTTAGAGATAGACATGGAATCAACAATCCCTACATGTAAATCGTGATCAATTCTTGGCCGTAGACATGCAATTGAATCAAGGACACGATCCGATGAATTTGCGCTCGAAACAAGATGGAATTCAATTCCTAATTGTAACGGATCAAAAAGCTTACTTTTTAGTGGACACAAACACCGAGAACACCGCAACCGTGAGTATGGACACTGGGATTGGGAGCATTGGGCACCAGGATTGGACTCCTCTGAACCAACAGTTCGTAAATCCTTTGATTCAACGTGGCAGATTCGGTAACTTCTCTCGCTTGTTTCTAGGTCTATACAAACTCAAAAGACTAGGTTTCGGGCACCAAAACAATCATCCTCGAGTGTACTTTCCAATAATATATTGCTCACGCCGATTCTAAATATATTGCGTTGATTCATCAATATATTGCATAACCTCCTACCTCCTGCTCATGTATGTAATAACTTTTGTACGGTACTCATTTGAGTGCCATAACTTTTTGTTCGACCACTTGAATGTCATAACTTAAAAAAAAACATTTACTTGAGTATCGTAACTTTCAATTGATCACTTGAGTATTATTAATTTTTTTAAAAACGTTCACCTAAGTGCCGAAAATCCAATGTGGCATGGCACTTTGTGATGAATGTTTTTAAAAAATTATAACACTCAAGTAATCGATTGAAAATGTATATGACACTCAAGTGATCGAAAAAAAAATTATGGCATTCAAGTGAGCGTTGTATGAAATTTTTGGTACTTGTGATGTCTTTCTCCCAACTTATTACTGTCAATGGTCTAATAACTTACCAATTATGTTATATAATTACAAGTTAAAACTAAATCATAGTATAATAAGTGGTAATCTACTATTGGGTATGGCAAAATTGATATTTCATTGGCAACTTTCAAATAGTTATATGCCCTCTTGTAAATTATTAGGGTTAATACTACGAAAAACCCTAAACTGGTACACCTGTGAAAAATTTATCCAAAACTAATTTTTTGACCATCAAAAACCTCAAACTGGTACACTTGTGACAAATTTACCCTTCGTTAATTTTCGTTAAATTTCACTATCAAATTGCTTTGTTAAATGGCACACGGCAGTTGATGGATATACCGGTTTTGGGTTTTACCCTCCGTTTGTCACAGTGTACAAGTTTGTGATTTTTTGTGGTATTAATCCAATTAAACGAAAACTAAAGGAGGGTAAATTTGTCATAAAATGTACAAGTTTGAGATTTTTGATGGTCAAAAAATTAGTTTGGGGTAAATTTGTCATAAGTGTACCAGTTTGAGGTTTTTGGTGGTTAAAAAATTAGTTTGGGGTAAATTTGTCACAGGCGTACAAGTTTGGGGTTTTTCATAGTATTAACCCAAATTATTAAAACAAGAGTTATCTGCTACTAGTTTTGGGGATAGCTATAACTTTCATATGACGCTCATTTGATTGCTATAACTTTTTTTTTATCACTTGAGTGCCATAATTTTTAAAAAAACGTTCATTTTAATGCCATAACTTTCAATTGACCACTTGAGTGCCATAACTTTTCAAAAATGTTCACCTAAGTGCTCGAAATCTGATGTGGCATAACATTTGTGGAGAACGGTTTTTAAAAAGTTATAGCGCTCAAGTGATCAATTGAAAAGTTATATGACACTCAAGTCATCAGAAAATAGATTATGGCACTCAAGTGATGTTGGCACTCAAGTGATGTTAACAACAAGTGTCATAATTTTCGTATGATGGTCATTTGAGTGTCATAATTTTTTGTTCAACCACTTGAGTATCATAAGTTTTTAAAAAAAGTTCACTTGAGTATCATAACTTTCAATTGATCACTTGAGTGTCATATTTTTTTCAAAAAACGTTTACCTAAGTGCTGGAAATCCAACGTGGCATGACACTTGCGGAAAGTTATGACACTCAAGTAATCGATTCAAAAGGTATATGACACTTAGGAAAAAAAATTATGGTATTTAAGTGAGCGTCATACGAAAGTTGTGGCATTGTAGTGCGTTTTTCCCAACTTACTACTGTCAATGGTCTAATAACTTACCGATTATATTATATAATTACTATTCAAAACTACATCATAGTATGATAATTGGTAATCTACTATTGTGTATGGTAAAATTGAAATTTCAATGGTAACTTTCTAATAGTTACGTGCCCACTTGTAAATTATTAAAACAAGAGCTAATTTGCTATTATATTTGAGGATCAGGACATCACAAGTGACATGACTTTCGAATGATACTCACTTGAGTGCCATAACTTTTTTCTTTTCAACCACTTAAATGCCATAACTTTTCAAAAATGCGGAAGCTTAACATGGCACGACACTTGTGGAGAACGTATTTAAAAGTTATGGTACTTAAATAATCCATTAAAAAGTTATATGGCATTCAAGTGATCAGAAAATAAGTTATGGCACTCAAGTGATATTGACACCGGAATTTTTGATCGACATAATCGTATATGCTTATATAGGATACATAAATCGGAAAGATAAAAATAAGAAGAATGAGAGAGAGAGAGAGAGAGAGAGAGAGAGAGAGAGAGAGAGAGAGAGAGAGAGAGATCATTTTTAAAGCCCATTCGGCCATTGAATTCAAATTTGGACCGACAGCTTGATCCAAACCCATCAAGTCAAACCCAAACCCGTTTGCTCATGAATTTGACCCATAATAAGACTTCAATCGCCGTGTGGGCTCACTTTGACCCATAAATCTTCGGTCCTCGATTTCCAATCGGAGCCCATTTTGGGATTCCTCTCAGGGAATCGATTGATTTCCACAGAGACTTCTTTCTCGTTTCTGCTGGCTCATCACCG